GAGGGGGGAGGCTGGGAAGGGATGTGAAGGGTAAACAAAAGGAGGAGGCTGCAATGCTTGGTAAGAAATGTACGCATTATCCTGTCCATGTAATTATAACTCCTCTGTACAGTATGTTCACAAATAAAATTAAATTAAATTAAAAAACAACAACAACAGAAATGTACTCAAACTTTTTTTTCTTTTATCTTTTGTGGTGCTGAGGAATCGAACCCAGGGCCTCAGGCATGCAAGGCAAGCGCTCTACCACTGAGCTACCTTCCCAGTGTCTCCTCCCCGTTTTTTTTTTTTTTTAAGTCGTTTAAATAAGAATATAGGTGGACCCGTTGCAACAATGAGAAGTAAAAGTCTTTATGTCGAAAAGGAACTTTACAACTTTGGTGGGGTGGGAAGGCGGAGAGGATGGGGGGGCAGGGGGGAGGGAGATGATGGGAAGGGATGGGAAGGGGAAACAAAGGAGTAGGCTACAATGCTTGATAAGAAATGTACTCATTATCTTGCCCATGTTATTGCAACCCCTCTTTATAGTATTTTCACAATAAAAATAAATAAAAATTTTAAAAAAGAAAATAATTGGGAATGAAATAAAAAAAAAGAAATGTACTCGATATCTTGCCCATATAATTGTAACTCCTCTGTATGGTATTCTCACAATAAAAAATAAAAATAAAAAAAAAGAAAACATTGGAAAAAAAACATGAAATGAATCATTTCTAGCAGTATTGATAAGGAGCTTTAGTAGAATTGAGGATTAAGTCTCTGAGAAATAATTTTAGTAAGATTTTTAGATTAGACATAAAAACACTCAAATAGCCGGGCACCCGTGGCTCACGCTTGTAATCTTAGCTACTAAGGAGGCTGAGACAGAGGATCCCGGTGCAAGCCAGCCAGAGCAGAAAAGCCAGAGAGAGTCTTATCTCCAATAAACCACTTAGAAAACCAGAAGTGACGTTTTGGCTCAAGTTGCAGAGCTCTAGCCTTGAGCTGAAAAGCTGACAGACAGTACCCAGGCCCAGAGTTCAAGCCCCACGACCTACTCAAATAGTATAATTCTTTAGAAAGGCAAAGATTATCAAAGTAAGATACCAGTAAGTGAATACTCAAAAGAGATAGGGTAGGGCTAAGTTAGTAGAAAGATGAAGTGGACAAAGAGGGGAGAATGTAGTCAAGAACCCTACTGTATTGTTGGTGGGAGCTTAAAAGCGTTCAGTCACTCTGGAAATCAGTATGGAAGTCCCTCAAAAGACGACATATAGATCTCCCTCATGACCCAGAAATCCCAAATTTGTGCATTTATTCCAACGATCACAAACAAGGCCATACTAAAGCTACCAGCACAACTGTGCTTATCACAGTATCATTCACCATGGTTAAGATGTGGAACCAACCCAAATACTCCTCAGTAGATGAATGGATCAAAAAAAATGTGACACACACACACACACACACACACACATCATAGGAATTATATGCCTCCATCAGGAAGAATGACACCACCCCATTCCCCATTTGTTAGGAAATGGAATGACTTGGAAAAAATTATATGAAGTGAAGTAAGTCAGACCCAGACAAACAGGTCCTACGGTTTCCTTTATTTGCAATAACTAGTATACATCTAGGATAATCTTACCAGGCAAGAAGAAAAGGTCAAAAGCTATGTACATATGACCATATAAGATGATGCTAAGTGAAATGAACCCCAAAATACAGACACAAGAGGTTTTATGTTTGTTGCTGTTCTTCTTAATGTACATATATTGTATTTTGTGATTTCTTTCTTTTTCTTTTGTATGTTATTCCCCCATGGTATAACTCCTGTTGTCACTGTATTTGATTGTGGTGCCCTGCATCTTGTATACATATTTTTCTAATTTGGGAAGGGGAAGGGGAATAACAAACAAGGATACAGGTTGACCCATTGTAACAATGAGATGTACAAGACACCATGTGGAAAATGAACTTTACAACTTTGGGGTGAGGGGGAGGGAGGAGTTGGGGAGGTAGGGAGGGAAGGGATGGTAGGAGAAAAAACAAAGGAGGGGGTAACAATGCTCGATAAGAAATGTACTCATTACCTTACTAATGTAACTGTAACCACTCTGTACAGTCTCTTTACAATAATGTATATAAATATATATATATATATATATATATGAATCTAATGTGTCTCCTACAAAATTAAGAATAGTGAAGGAAAGAGTGGATAGGGAAGGGATGGGTGATAATGATGAAAGGGGTGACATTGATCAAGATGTATTTTACTCATAAACTGTGTGTTAACTGCGCCACTCCTTTGTACAACTACTTAACAATAATTTAAAAAAAACAAGTTAAATTGAAAATAATGCACAATCTTTTCTAGAGTAACAGAAATACAATCTTTGGGTTATTGTTTTTGCAAGATAAATATCTACCAATTGTCATTGAATACCACAATGCATATGCCTGATCAAAGTAACAATCTCAAATCAGACACAAATACTTTTTTAGAGCTACATCATCCACAATAGCTACTAGTTACTTCTGTTATTTGAATTTAAATGTAACTAATTTACATGACCTTAATACTAACCACATGTAAGAGTTCATTAAACATATTCAGGTAGTGACTTGCTTTGTATGACAGTGGACATAGGGAGTATTTCCAACATTATAAAAAGCATTATCATCTCTGATATATAACTGTAACCCCTCTGTACATCACATTGACAATATTTTTTAAAAGAAGAAAGTCACTTGTTTCTGCACAGAAAAATATTTTCATGTGAAGGTACTGCTTTTGCAGTATCAAGTGATATCATTTTATTAGTTTTATGTGCTCTTTGGTTTATGATGCTAGCATTTCTTTTGTAATTCAATAATTTTGTATGTATGTTTTCAGATGTGGAACAAATGGCAATTGACTGGATCACCAGAAATCTGTATTTTGTGGATCATGCCAGTGACCGGATCTTTGTTTGTAACTACAATGGGTCTGTGTGTGTCACTTTGATTGACCTGGAACTTCACAACCCGAAGGCAATAGCAGTAGATCCAATAGCGGGGTAAGGAATTTTTTTTATTACATTTAGTCTGCAAACATTTTCATAGCCAAAAAAATAAAGCCAAAATCTGACAAGACATTTTTGTAAAATAAGACAGCAAACTCAAAAATAATTAAATGTTGGTTTTAGCACCTACATGCAGGAAGGAAGGAAGACTATAAATTACCATTCAGAAGCTGGGGAATACCAGTTCCTTAACAGATCAATATTGCCGGCCTAACCTAAGACATAAACAATCTTCTCCACTCCCAAGAATTGCTTTGTGATCATTGACGAGTCTCAGGATACTTTGAGGTTAAAGACAAGAGGATTTCTAATTTTTAGCAAGGGAGCTTGTAGTTAGCAACCTTCACAAACAGATTGAAAGATACACTGTTTCCATAAATATGTCCAGTAAAGTATTTATAGGTTATAGAAATGTAATATACATTCTAGAGCACTACTAAAACCTTGGAATGGTCAGAATTCTCGTTAGTTCAGACCCTAATTTTATTCTCAATAATTACTGATATGTAAACCTAATATTATAGAGTTAATAATCCATCTTTATTTCAAGTTTTCAAGACACTTTATTGGTTAAAATAGCTTTTATCTTATAAGATCTCTTTAGATAATAGACTCATTAATCTTTTAAAATATTTTACTATTTGTAAACTATAATCATTCATATCCTCATCGACTTTGCCTAGACCTTTACAAAGTCAATGCAGAAAAGAAATGTCTTTAAATTATAAACATGGTGGTATTATTAGAGGGTGAAGAAAAAAATCAACACAGACCCTTATAAATTTATCATCTCACTAGTGAGTTCTGCCAGTATATTCAAATGGATGGCATATTGTACTACTGGTGTTTGTGAAGAGGTAACTCACAACAAAGATTTGAAATGTGAACATTCATTCTTGCTATTACTTTCATAGTCCTCAGGCAGTTCAGGCTGAAATGTCTGATGGAATATATCCTAAAGTACCATAAGCCACCATTCAATAAGTGAGAAAATATTTACTGAGGAAACAGCTGCCACCCATATGTGGACTTTTGTCACTCTTTACTTAAAGTCTGATTGAATATTAAGATGCATCATCACAATGGTTCTGATTTTGACAAGAACAGCTTGCACGTAAGAACTTCGCCTAGGAAGGCTGAGTAATATAATTCTTGAACGTGGTTCTATTTGTATTTGCAGCAGATGGTTACTTGACTGCAGTGATGCTTCAAAAAACATTAGGAAAAAGAAGTTGTGTTTAAACTGATTTGTTTGGGTGGTTGAAAATGAGTAGTAAGAAAGAACTGGAAATTTACAAATGTGCTAACAACATTCTTTTGGCATCCTGTTTAAAAAATACATTTGCCTTCTTGATTTTGCCTGGTGATAATAGCTGTATTTCAAATTAGCCTTGAGACAGTCCACCATGCTCAAGCTATTGCCTTTCTCCTTTCTTCCTGCTATGTTTTTTTCCTTCCCCATTCTCAAAACTAATACCCAGAGACCCTTTTCAAATAAAACTGCCAATCTGAACTATAATACATGTGAACATCATCTTTCTTTTGGAACAACAATATATTTTATGCTCTCAGGTTTCCAATTTCTCCCTGTCATTATAAGAAAGAACCATATTTTGTCATTTTTGTCAACGGAATTAGGAGTAGAAACTCCCATGTTTTTTGCACTTATTCACTGCTGGATTCCTCTAGGTCTGATAACTGTTTAAATGCTATTTTGTCATACATCATTTATCACAACAGGTGCTTTGAATTTTTTTTCTTTGCTCTCTCGAGCAAAGTTTTCAATCACTGATTGCAGATATCAGAGAAGGAAAACCCCATTCTTTTCTAAATATAGACATGTTTGCAATAGAGCATGTTTGCCTATATTCTATTTTTCTCTAAATAAAAATTTGGATGTGAACAATGCAATGCTATACACGAAAGGAACAGTGGATTTTTTTCTTAAACTTCTAGATTGAAGTAAATTGGGATTCCTCTAGAGTTTATATAATTTGTGTAAAATAACTAAGGTCCTGAGTTCAAGCCCCAGGACACACACACACACACAAACACACACACACACAAACACACACACACACACACACAATATTTAACTTAAGAATAAAGAAGATTAGAGGAGAAATATAGGACAACTGTGGGTGGAGGATGTGCAAAAAATGATTTTTCTCATTTATTTCTAAGTTTGTGTTCAAAGTACCTAAAATAAGGAAACTAAACAATCACAATTATTATAACTTTTGCAAGTTAAAAGTTCCTTAAGAACTTACAGAAAACTCATAGAATCAAGGAAACATATTTTTATTCTAAATTTAAAGAAGAAATGGAAAGTTGTAGGAAAATATTACTGGACAGCAGGGGCAATCTAGTGATAATAAATAAAAATAATAAATAAAAAGGAAAATTTAAGTACCTTTAAGTAGGTATTCATTTAACAAAACAGATGTAGCTTGTTCAATACGCACCCATCCCTCCCAGCCCACCCTCCTCTCTCACTTTTCTCAATTTTATGGGATATGCATTGATTGAACTCTTGACTGTCTTCTCCCCTTCTTCTCCTCTTCATTAGTCTACCCCTCTGAACTTGATACCACTCACTTCCGTAAAATACTAATGTTCTGTTTATTTTTTATAGACATTCAACATTGCCTTTCTAAGAATATACTATTTAGGTTTTCCTTTGAATCTACTGTATTTCATTTAATAAATTTGTATTAAAAACACATTTATTTATATATTTATAAACACATTCTAGCTTCCACATATGAGGAAAATCATAAACCTTTCTCTCTCTAGGCCTCACATACTTCATTTTATATATGTATATGTTCGTGGGGTCTGAACTCTGGGCCTGGTGCTGTCCCTCAGCTCTTCAGCTCAAGGCTAGTGCCCTATCACTTGAACCCCAGCACCACTTCTGGCTTTTTCTGTGTATGTGGTGCTGAGGAATCGAACCCAGGGCCTCATGTATGCAAGGCAAGCGCTCTACCACTGAGCCAACTTCTCATCCCACTTAATATAAATTTTTTAAATGTGGTTAGATGGCACAAGTAGGTGTCAATGCATGTTGACACACCCAATGGCTTTTCCATCCTTGCCAAGGGAAATGCTAGCTTCTCTTGCTTCATTCAACACAGAAAAGAATTTTAGCAATGTCTATTTGTTCACATTTTTTTGTATGTCCTTATATCTTCAAAGATGAGGACATTCTTTCCTCTGAATACAAAGTGGGCACTCACTTTTGGAATGAGGGTTTTAGTACTGACTTCACAGTAAATTTAGAGAATTATTTTGTTGCCTGTATCAAGGAACTTGGTTTGAAGAAGTTCAAATGATGACCTAACTGTTTCTCTGTTTTTCCTGTGCTAAGTTGTCATACATTTTTGGTGGCATAACATGAATTCTACCAGGAAGAAGCTAAAAATGAAAATATTATTTGAACAGTCTTCTTTTACAAGACAATATGTAAATTAACTTCAATATCTTTCAAAAAATAAAGGTGAAGGAAAAAATTTCTTCATAACTGTCCTTTCAGTCAAGCTATGTTGTTTTTAGGTATTTTTGTTCGTTTTTGTATGTCAGTGCTGGGGCTTGAAATATGGGCCTGGGTCCAACCCCACAGTTTTTCAGCTCAAGGTGAGTGCTTTACCATTTGAGCTACTGTGACACTTCTGGTTTTCTGGTGGTTTATTGGAGATAAGAGTTTCATGGACTTTCCTGCCCGGGCTGGATTTGAACCGTGATCCTCAGATCTCAGCCTCCTGAGTAGCTACGATTACAGCCATGAGCCACCTGTACCCGGCAGCTAATTTTTTTTAATGCTATATTGTCTTTGATTCTAAAGTATGTAATATCTAGGTCTAGTGAGGGTTGTAAATATAGTCAAGTCTGGAGCTTTACTTCTAAGATCTGGCTTTTAGTTTCCTATTAAAATCCTCAAGCTAGATTTGATACAAGGGTTTCTTAAACATAAATGTGAAATCAATAAAGGGAGAGCAACAATAAAATCAATCTTAATTCATGTGACAAACGCATTAATCAATCCAAGCTCAAGGAAGTGACTCTGAAACACAAAATACAGTGAAAGCAAGATCAAGTGTTTGTTGGGCAGATACCCCAAACAGGTACAACAAGCACTTCATCTTCTTACTGTATGGGCCCCTTATTCAATTAGTTGTTAGTTGAGTACTATAACAGTAAACAGGATATTATCTAAGTTTCATTATTGGGAAATTTAATAAATGGACTTATTGGGATTACTTGGATTTTAGAAAAGAGCCTTGCTCATCCCCACTTGCAGTGTACTATTGTGGTGGGAAGGATTCTCTAGTTAGGTGCTTTCTGGCACACAGTTGGTTTTTTGTTTGCTTATTTATCTTAATCCATCATTTCATTGTGGTCCTCCATTCTCCCTACTAGTTGAATTCCTTCTAATGTCCTGTTTGCCTTTCCTATTTGTTTAAGGACTTAGACTTTATCATAAGCCTTTAATTCATTGTGTAAGCAAGCTCCTTAAGAACATGGATTCTGGGTCAGATGCCTTGTCTTGAAAATATCTACTACTGCCTTTATTTCCAACAATATGAAAAACATTATTAGAAAAACAGAGCAAACCTAATTATTTTCATGAATATATTAAAGTTCTAATTGGAACTTTAGGAAAAGTTATATTGTGAGATTTGGTATACTATATTTCAATTATAAGTGTAATTAACTTATGTAAGAAGGTTAAATTAAAGAAGGGGTAACTCTTATAAAGTGATACAGTAGACATTAAATATTTCCTGAATACAATATCATGTATTTTTATATAGGATAAACTTTTTTTAAAAAGTGGGAGGCAGATTAGTATATAGGATTTGTGAATCTAGGACCCCATGTCAATAAGGAGGGAAAAACATATTGTCTTTGTTCTATGTGAAAGCTATCCATCTGTCAAGAGACAGAAGAGTGAATCCCAAGATTCAGAAGTGAAGTTCACATAAGGAATGATT